TATTAAATATAGGCTGATTACGACTAATTTGTGAGACGAATCTTTTAAGCCTAATTGCTACATGATTTGATAACGTGGTGTTACAGTAAACATTTGCTAATGACGGATTAATTATGCTTAATCAATTCGTCTCGCGGTTTACTGACGAATTCTGTAATTAGTTATTTATTAGTACCTGAACACCCCATACAATACCCTATATAGTATCCGATGTGACACGTTAAAACTTTACACCCCTGGATCTAAACACCCCCTATATATCCTTACGTTAAAACTTCCTCTGTCCAATTTTAAGTGGAGTTGTAAATTTAACATATCCAATATTTGTTTGTCCGTTTTATTTGAATGTTTTTTATGATTAGTATTTTTATTACTATCATATGATAAAACATGAATAGTATTTTATACGTGAGTTATTTTTTTATTTTTTCATAAATTTTTTAAATAAGACGGATGATCAAACATTGGATATAGAAACCCACAACTACATTTAAAATGGGACAGAAGAGTACAACAAATCTCATATATATAAAGTAATATGCAAATAAATCATACATATATATACCTAAAAATGCTTATATATTTTAGAAAAGTTATATAAAACCAGTTGAGAACCTATCTTATATATATCCTCCCTCCAGTCATGATTACATGACGTTTAATTAGAACGTACAGTATCTTATATTTTAGATTGAAGGTAGTACTACACATGCTCTTAATATAACAACGAAATCTCTTTTATGGGAATCTTATTCGTAGAAAGTAGTATCAAGCATAAATATATTATTCATTTGTTGGGTTAAAACCTATAGTGCATATATTTGAGATTCATTGTGGCGACTAAGGCCATGGAAAATATCCAAATCCTAGGGATAACAGTTGCTAATTAGATCAGCATTGCCACACCAGCCAAAACGGTGTCACATCCCCTCTGTGCATGCATGCAAAGCAAATTAATTGGTGCAGCAACATGTCGTTTTGGTTTTGTCGTAAATCAATTATATGTAACTTTAATAATCAATTTTTAGAAATAAATATATTTTAACAACATATGAATTATATATTACATATGAAAGCATTTCTTGTGGTAAATCTAAATACATGAACCTTACGATTTTAAACTATATAAAATTTCAAAAATTAATGGTCAAAGTTTAGAATGTTTTAGTAACAACAAAGCTAAAATGAAAAATAATTTGAAACTGAGGCAATGCCATTTTGTAGCGATATATGGTTTATATGAATGGCACTACTTTTCCTAGCTAACTTGGCTCTTCAGATTTTAAAAAAAAATCATTTTAGGAATATTGTTTAAAAATACTTTAGAAAATTCTACCACCTACAATTGGACACCTTGATGAGAAAAAAATATATAGAAAAAACAGTTCGTCCGTATCCTGGCGCGGCTATATATAGCGGGGGGAAGCCACGGCCATTGCTCTTCATCACAAGCCTCGCCTTCCAAAGCTAATCGAGATCAACCACACCAAATTAATCAAGCTCAGTTCATCGCAGATCGATCGATCGATCAACATGTCGGACAAGTGCGGCAACTGCGACTGCGCTGACAAGAGCCAGTGCGTGTAAGTACACACCCCAGCTAGCTAGCTAGCTGCCACTCCTGAATTCGATTCCCTCTTTAAGATTTACTAATTTTTCAGTCCTGCATGCGAACTGAATCAACTGATCGAATCTATTAATATAATTGACATGTTGATTAATTTGCAGGAAGAAAGGAACCAGCTATGGCGTCGTCATAGTTGACGCCGAGAAGAGGTACATACATACTGGCTTCTCCTCCCCTTCCCATCCCCAATACCTCTTAATTAACTCTACAACAACTCCTATATCTAAGAAAACCCAAATTAAATGGAGATGTGACATAATCCCAAATTCGTTGTACTATATTATACCATATATATCTTGATCTGTTCAGTTTTTTTTAGGGAGTACAGCTTTTGTTGGAATTAATGAATGGGCCTTAGCCCACTCGAAGATTAATTCTTTGGAAAATCACAAAAGCCCACCTCATGGGATGGCATGCATGTGGAGTTTAGTACCACCTTGCTTATTCTAGGAGAGGGGGACCTCCTTAAAAGGGAGGATGCCCTCCTAGCCACTTGAAGCATGTGTGGTGGAGAGAAGAGGGGAAACACACGCGCGCGCGCGCTCGCTCGCCTGGCAGGGCAGGGCAGGCGGCGCGCGTGCACGACGTACGCGTCGAATGGAATGGTCCGAAAAATTGGCTCCTCACCCTTGCGCAGATGCAGCCTCCTTTTGCAGTTTTGTTTTGCTGCAAATTCGGATTCGTTTTTGTTTTGGAAACGTTCCGAAAAATCCGGTGCGTGCAAACGGCGTGGAGTCCGGATAAGTTACGCGCGACTTATCCGGTTCGGTTACGCGCAGTAGAGATCGTGCGGGCGCCCTGATCAAGCGACCCTTCTCTATATAAACCGACCCGCCGTCTTCACGCAAAATATGCGAAAATCAATCTAGGGTTTGCCTCCTACTCTGTACTGCGCCGTCGCTCGTAGACTACTCCATCCCGCTCGCCGGCGTGCACCAGCGATCGGGAGAGCAGGTCTCCGGAACCTCTGCCTTTGACGTCCTGCACCGGGAGAAGGCGGCAATAAGGTTTTTGGGAAGCGCTTCGCGCGACTGCTCCCTGTTCGTTCGCGACGGCTCGCCTTCCTCTTCGCTCGCGTGTTTCGTGCCTTCGTAGACACCTGCGAAAAGTTTCGACCAAGCAGCCGGTCTTTTCGTCACCTCGGTACGTGTTCAATATGTTGCGCATATTTGATCTGTTCATGTTATTCTGCGTAGTTTACATGTGTAGATCTAATGATGCGTTCATGCTAGTTTTCATCTGTAATGTCATAATTTATTTATGGAATAAATTAAATCATTATATGCCTATAATCTCAACAGCTTTAGCCATACTACTAGCCTGATGATTGATTTAGATTCTGAGGGGTTATTATCACCGCTAATTATAATATTATAACTACAAATATTTTAAAACATGTGATCTAACCAAGTTTCGGAGAAAACATATTTTTCGAAGCTCAAAGCAAATAATATATCCGTTTCTATAATATAGTGAATAAACTAAAACGGACCCCAATACATGAATCTTACACTTCTGTGAAAGTAATTAAAGTCGTGCAAACATCATAACTCGAACAAATCGCGGTCGCTTCCACTTAATTAAGAATCATATAAATAAATATTGAACGATAAATTTAGATGTAAGTGATATATTTCTGTGCAACACATGCAGCCACTTCGAGATGGCTGAGGAGGTCGGCTACGAGGAGAACGACGGCAAGTGCAAGTGCACCACCGGCTGCTCCTGCGCCGGCTGCAACTGCGGCAAGTGATGAACAAAGCTATCCTCTGCAACCTGGCCCCACAATCCAGTGTGTCATCCGTTATGCGCCCATGCGTGCATATATATGCATATGCATGCATGCATGCTAAATAATGTTTCGTGTTGCGTATGTGTGCCATGTGACTTGCTATCATGTGAGTCATCACCTGCACCTTTGTGTGTCTATATGTATGTACGTGTCCTGTGATGTGATGATGTACCTGTGCTGTCATATATATGGAGTATACTGATATATAACTTAATTGGTGTGCTTGTATTTAGACTTTTTGTGGTATCATTTTGCTCATGCAGTTCTTTTTTCCAATACCAAGGACATATACATTCATTCATACATACATACATATACTATATTACAGATGGGTTGTGCTGTATTAAAACACAACCCCCTACCCTCCCCCCTCCAACCGGGGCGACCCACCCCACCCACCTACCTTCCTTTATGATCCGCACTTGTTATAATGATTGGTTGTTACTAGTAATGTAGTTACTGGAGTATATGATAACGTATTTAAGGGTCAGTAATGTAGTTACTAAGGGCATGTACAAAGGTAGAGTCAGATATGCTGAAATTTTCACAATTTGACCCTTTGCAAAAACTTTTTTCACAAATGAACCGCTGCCAAAACTTATTTCAAAAATGACTCTTTTGGTCAGCGCCAAATCACCTGGCGCTGAACTTAGACACCTCAGCGCTATGTCAACTGGCGCTGAATGCCGTGCCACCGCGGATGGGAGACTAAGTCAGCGTGCCAACGCATATTCAGCGCTACGCTATTTGGCGCTGAGGTGTCTAAATTCAGTGCCAAGGGTTATTTTTTAAATAAGTTTTGGTGACGGTTCATTTGTAAAAATAGTTTTTAAAAAGGGTCAAATTGTGAAAATTTTTGTCAGATATGAGCTCTACGTTATCTAGAGACTAGCACCCTACAATAGTTAGAGACAATATGGTCTCTAAACATTAATGAATCAAAAAAATCTTAATATTTTTTCCTTTCTTTCATCACCATGCAACAAAATTTGCTCTAAAAAATGCTAAGAGTCGACTCTAAGCCGTTGTCATGCATAGCAATAGAGAGAGACCACTAATAAAGACCGTTATACGTGCCCTAAAGGGGGAGCATCTATCCATTTGTCGGGTGATTTCTAATAAAAAATCACCTAGATTTTTTCTACCCCTAGATTTACATCCAACGGACTACAAAATAAAATAACAAATACATATTTACTTATATATTATTTTTACCAAAATTACAGTGCACTTACATGTCATATCAACTGAAGTTATAAATGTAAATTTAGTTACATAGGACTGTAATTTTATAATTTAAAGAAAATACCAAATACATATTTACTTACATATTATTTTTATCGAAATTACAGTGCGCTTACATGTCATATCAACTGAATTTACAAATGTAAATTTAGTTATATAGACTGTAATTTTATATTTTCTATATTTTAAATTTAGTTATATAGGACGTGCCGGCCGGCTGACGAGCTGAAAAAAAAGGGTTAAATGTCAGAAAAAAATCACGAGCAAAATCGATATACGATATGTAATGTGCCAGCTACCCAGCGAGCTGCACAAAGCTTACGACAAGCCAAGGCCGACGGTAGCAGCAGGTTAGCTAAGCACTTCGTGTTACTTAAAGATACAAAACCATATCCTTCACGATCGGACGGCCAGAAAAACGTCAAATAACCTTTAGCAAAATCGAAAGGGAATACATACACTGTCAACAAATTGGTGTGTTCTCGACTTGTCGCCTCTCATCCTCTGAATTTCGGATCTAGCATGGCAGGCGAGGTTCGTGCTCGAGCCAGGCGGCGATGGAGAGGAGCCCCGGTCATCCTCCGTGTGCGGCGCACGCTACTCGCCGCCGTCCTATACTCCGCCCCCATGGATATGCACCACCGCCACCGACCTCTCTCCCGTCGCTTGGTAGCCGCCGTTCGGGGGCGCCGCCCGGGATTGTCGTCGCGTCGTGGCTGTCCGTCTCCTCGATCGTCGCCGGATCAGGAGGCCACACTCTTCCTGGCCCTGGCGCATCTATCCCCGGTGCCAGATCGAGCCTCCCCACGCCCAGTTGCGTCAGATCGCGACCAGTTAATGCTGTGACCATTATTGAAGGTTTGCGTCTCGCTAGATCCACTCGCCGGCTAGAGCCCGAGGGACGCCGGGATGCAAGGGGAGAGGAAGGAGCGAAGACGTACGTGGTGTGCCTGCTTCATGGCAGTCGAGGTGGTCAGGTGGGGAGGCGAGCATACAGCAGCTACGTGCCTGCTTGCTGCGTCGTGGATTCGACGATGGCGGGTATCTGGCTGCAGTTTGGTGCGACGTCGATGTACCAGACAGAGAGGTGAGCAGCTGCTGTGTGCCTGCATGGTAACGATCAGAATGCCGGATGAACATTTGTTATATGTGATGTTTGGGGATGATTCGTAGCTGCATGCCTGCTTCATAGTTTTTTTTTTCTTATTTTCCAATCCGTCTTTTTCTGAAGCTGTTCATCCCCGGTTTACCCCACTGTTCTTGTATAAAGTCTCATGTTCATGTCCTCATCTGTCATTATATTGCTGTAATGGATTATTTATTACTCCCTCTGTATCAAAATGTTTGACACCGTTGATTTTTTTAAGTACATGTTTGACCATTCGTCTTATTCAAAAATTTAAGTAATTATTTATTCTTTTCATATCATTTGATTCATTGTTAAATATACTTTCATGTACACATATAATTTTACATATTTCATAAATTTTTTTTGAATAAGACGAATGATCAAACATGTGCTAAAAAGTCAACGGTGTCAAACATTTTGAAGCGGAGGGAGTAGAATATTTAGTGAAATAAGTAAACATGCTAGTAGTTTCTGATATTATCCAATTAGTACTTGACTTAATTTGGTGGTTCTTGGTTCATTGTTCTTCTGACAACATTCAGTTTTTACAAGGCATTAAGCTCCTCATTTTCACGCACTCATCTGAATTCACATCCGTTCAGTCATGAATTAGTTTTGTGCAGTATGTTCAGAATACTGCTATCATGAATCCTTTTTCCAGTGTTCCGAAAACTGCCAATAACATCATTATCAGGGTGGGTGGCAATATATTGATTTTTATACCTTTCTACCCCATTAGGGAATCTTATTTTCTCATCTGGCTGAATTGCGCAATATCAGGTTCCTTTTTTACCCCATTAGGAACAATCAGATGAAGTTCTAAGGTTTGACTACCATGGACAACCTGCTGAAATGAAAATTGATATGCACGTACCATGGTAAACATATAGAACCGCATCAACAAAATGCTGCTAAAAAATTGAATCATGTAGCCTTCCTTTATACAATGGAGAAAGTTTTGCTCATACTTAGGTATAAGTTTCACCTTGTCATGTTACTTTTCTAAAAGTGCTTCGGAATATGTAAATGATTTTCAACTATGTTGACCCATTTTCTTTAACCAGGCTGACCGAAGTATTGGAGCCGAAGTATTGGAGTCCAAAAATTATTAAGCTAAGGGAGCAAATATTATTAAGCTGGACCGGAGAGGCAGTGAGGAGGCCCTCCCAGGAGGGTGAAGCAGCCTCCTCTAGATTCTGATGAGACGAGGGCCGCGACTGTGGCCTTGACTACTGCCTACTGGTGCGATGACGGAGAGGGGAGAAGCATGCAGAGGCCGCTCACTTTCTACATCGCGTCATTGTTGTTGGTTCGCTACGACTACCTGGGACCTCGAGGGAAACTGTTTTAAACACTCGGGTGGACGTCCACCCATTTCTTGCATGTCATCTAAATGGTTATGAAAAATTTTCAAAAAAATTGACATGATAGGTTAATTTGTAATATATCACTTCACAAACATGCAAGTTCAAATTCGACTTCTACAATTTGTAACAAAAATAACAAATTTGACTGTGAATATACGTATACTAGTTAGAGTTTGATTTGTTATTTTTGTTACAACTTATAGAAGTCGAATTTGAACTTGCATGTTTGTGAAGTGATATATTACATATTAACCTATCTTGTGAATTTTTTTGGAATTTTTTCATAATCATTTAGGTGGCATGCAAGAAACGGGTGGACGTCCACCCAAGAGATTAGAATCCATCCTCGGGACCTCGACTTATCTGCCCCTGTCCATTCGCTCTACTCGGCTTGGTAAAAAAATCCCAATTTTTCTTCCTGTATGTCTAAGTTTGTAAATATAATTGTTTTGCTGAATGGAGATATATCATTTCTACAAAGAATGTCAGTATGTAGGTAGAAAGAGTGAATGTTGTTGTGTATTTTCCAGTTTATACCTACTAAAATCTGAATAAGCCAATTGGCTGGGCGGGAGTATATAATTTTTGGATGTAATGTACCTGTGCATTTTTTCCAAGGTTAATGTGCCTGCATTTCTTTAAATATGCCGATAAAATGTAAATCTTTTGGTGAATGGAGATATATAAATATCAGTTATAGAATGTCATTTTATTGCCAGCCTATCTGAAATACTTTATGTTTTCTGAGCAGGACAACCTATCTGAAATCTATTTTCTCCTTGTTCTTTTGGATTTTGAGAGGCAGGACACAACAGAACTCAGGCAGTGGAGGCATGACATCCAGGGCCGAGAGGTTGGCGGCTCAGTAGGGTAGCTGAATGGCGATTGGCGACAATGGCGTTGGCCAAGTAGCGCCACAGCGGCATCAAGGAGTGCTGGCGGTCAACTGTGCCAGGATTCGTGCAAGTATCGATCCGCGTCGTCGGCCCTAATTAGTCCTTGCATCAATCTCCATTAGCATATCCATCAGTGATGGTGCTATTGTGATTTTTAATAGTTTTGTGCATTCTACCTATGTATCGCATTGCATATGTGATTAGACTATTGATATAATACTGAATCTTATTCGAACAATTCCTTGATTGGAATGATTTTATTAAATTTTGTGGTTAGAACAGTATGTTCTTAAATCTTGTACTCTAGAAGCCTGGGTGTAATTTATTTACCGAAAGAAGATATCAGAAGAAAAGTATAGGAGTAATTTATTTACTACAAGATCTTGTACTCCAGCAGCCTAGGTGTAATTTATTTACTAAAAAAAGATATCAGAAGAAAAGTATAGGAGTAATTTATTCACTGCAAGAATTTACTAAGAGATTTTGTGGCAAGATTAATAAGCTGATCGTAAGTAACATATTTAATTTTGTGGCAAGATTAGTCACTGATAGAAGGGTTGTCATAAGTAATTTGCACCGGTCCAAATAATAATTTATTTACTAAAAGATATAATTTATTTACTAAGAGAAATAATTCTGTGGCAAGATTAGTCAGTTGATCATAAGTAACTTACTCCCTCCATTCCATAATATAAGGCACAACCACTTTTCTTAGATGTTCCATAATATAATGCATGCATGCAATTAATTATGACATTTTCTCTATTAAATTACTACTTTTTTAAATCCTCTACTCTCATGTTATCTAATACTATTGGATGCATGCATTATATTTATTAGGATGATCCAAACTACAAGATGATAATAATTATTTATTGGTTTTTGGGTTGAGGGTGGTTGTGCCTTATATTTTGGAATGGAGGGAGTATTTACTAATAGAAGGGTTGTCCTAAGTAATTTTCACCGGTCTAAATAATAATTTATTTACTAAGAGAAATTTTGTGACAAGATTAATCAGTTGATCGTAAGTAACATATTTACTGATAGAACGATAGTCATAAGTAAATCAGTTACTAAGAGAAGCACCGAACCAAATAATAATTTGTTGTAGAAGGGTAGTCATAAGTAATTTAGTAACTGAGAGAAGTAGAAGAAGTATCAGGGAGTGAGATGGGAAGAACCAAATAATAATTTATTTACTAAGAGAAATTTTGTAAATAATAATTTATTTACTAAAAGAAATTTTGTGGCAAGATTAGTCAGTTGATCATCAGTAAGATATTTACTGGTACAAGGGTAGTTATAAGTAATTTAGTTACTAAGAGAAATACTTGAGAACAAATATCAGGGAGTGAGATGGGAGGATACATGTGCAGGAGAAAAAAAAAGTGCGGACGGGAAGAGGGAGGGGTGCGGGAGGGGGGAGGAGGGACGGGAGGGGGTGAGGGGGTGTATCTGTGAGGGAGCGCTTTAGCTATTGCGCACCCTAGACGTGGTTTAGCGTGTCCCCATACATACATACATACGTACATACATACATAACATACATATGTATGTACATATGTGTGGATGGATGGAAAAGCAAATGTGAACCAAGGTTCATTTGCACCTATAATCTAGGACGTTGGTGTGTTCCAAGATGTGTGCAAGTTAAATGTTTCCTAGTATGCATTTGTGAAGGCTTACTATAGTGACAAAGGACATGGATGGTACATAACATCACTGTGCCTCATGGTCTTATTTTGCAGCCTTCCTACTTTACCCCTGAGCCTTAATAATATCGATATGATATATATATATATATATATGTATATATATGTATATGTATATGTATATATATGTATATGTATATGTATATGTATATGTATATATGTATATATATGTATATGTATATGTATATGTATATATATGTACACACACACACGTTGATCTTTTTTAAATGAATTGATGCATCGCAAAAGTAATAAGAACTCATGTGAAATCAAGACCACCGGTAAATATCATTTGTGGTGAACCACCGAAACATAAACATCATACACTTAGGCAATTAAGAGCTAGGAGATGTTATTATTGGTATTACTTTCAAGTGATTTGTACTCCCTCTATCTACTTTTGATAGTCATGACTTAATTATGTACAAGGTAAGTAGTTGTTTGTATTTCTTGCTGAGAAAGGAGAAAAAGTTATTCTGTTATAAAAGAAGTCATTTAATTAATTAATTCTCAATTCACAAACCCAGCGTTATGTTAGATGTTACTAACTTTGAAGGAGAAGACATTTTCACACATTTGAATACCTATCCTGATTATCTTGTACTCCCTCCGTTTCAGGTTATAAGTTGTTTTGACTCTAATCAAAGTCAAACTGCTTCAAATTTACCAAGTTTGTAGAAAAAATTAGTAACATTTCAACCCAAGACAAATTTATTATGAAAATATATTTAATAATTGATTTGATAAAACTAATTTAGTATTGTAAATATTAATATATTTGTCTATAAACTTACTCAAACTTGAAACAATTTGACTTTGATAAAAGTTAAAACGACTTATAACCTAAAACGGAGGGACCGGGACATAAATAGCCATGAAAAAGTTTGTAAAATATTGTAACATAGTACATCTTATACTAGCTCTACTACAATCTCTGTCCCAATATATACCAGGGATTTTGGTAATACAAATATATAGGCAGCTAAAATCTCTAATATTTTTGGACGGAGGTGGTAACTCTTATATTACTTTAGAGTGGCAAGTCTGCTTTTTCAAGAAAAATAAAAAAAAACAAATAGCCTTTTCTATGCTGTTGGTAGCCAATCGATTTTTTTCTCAAATCAAATTTGGAGTCTAGATTTATAAACATTGTCAAATTATTTGTATTAAACTTTTTTGCACAACTGTCGTTATTGGTTGATATTTCAAGAGTGAGAAACTATTGATGTAAAAACACGAGGCCTGGGAGATCTGCTTAACTCCAGTGCAGGTCCAAAAGCTTGCCTTTAGGTGTATGAGCGTGCCAGTTGATTTGATCCTACAATCAACAAGAAACAAAGACAAAGAAACCGCGGTTAAATCCATAAACGATAGCCGATCGGCTAGTTGCCGATGACGTATCATTTATCTTTGAGCCGATGTCATATGTTGATCGATTGGCAGTAATGAATAAGTAAGAAAGAACTAAATCTATTCGATCGGCTGTAGATATTAACGATATATAATCCTTATGTCGATATATACTTAAATCAGGTGATTGGGATAGATCGGTCGCCATGCCGAGATAGTATAAATCACTTAGGTCGAAATATATATTAACAACAAGACTATATATATTCATAGCATAGCCGATCAGATAGATATAGCATGTATCGGCTAATACTCCGATACCACTCTATATTAAGATATCAAAGGCAAGTAGAATATACCAAACAAAAAGCCTAATATACTTAAATGCAACAAGATCTTAACATAAATAGCAGATTTAACATGTCAATCAAGTATATAAGATAAAGATAATTAAATCAGGTAAGATCGGCTGAAACCCCGATACTACCCTAATCGGCAACCAAAGACAGGCTAGAGATTGAGATTCTAATATCGACTCATAAGATCAAACTCAACTGATGCAACTATAAGTATGAAAAGAAGGACAATATCTAGATAATCAAGCCGTTGGATGTTTCATAGAGTGGTAGATATCTTATATAATCTAGTTCAATGTCAATATATAACCTAACCGGCTGCCTTCTAGTAACAGATGCTAGCCAATTAAAGGTTAGATAGCGATATTGCCGAAGATTATGTAAGATATATGATAACTCGATGAATCACATAAACAAGATTAGAGTATCATGAAGATGGAAGCACTAATCCCGAGAACGCAAGCCGCCATAACAAGTTTTACCTTTTGTTGAAGATTGAAACCGATGCAGCTCAACCCGAAAGCAAGAACTCGTCGAAACAAAATAAAAGTAAAAAGGGCGGCGATGCGCCGAGATTGTATTGAACGTGTGTTAGTTTGATTACATGGGGCTCGGGGTCTATTTATACCCGAGATTACAAAATATGTCCATATCGGACACGACTCTTATCTCTAACAAACTCTAAGATACCATAAGTCTTTGCGGCAGACTTTTGCCCAAACATATCTCTAAGGAAATAAAATATCCTAACTAATAGATACAATTGCCTTCTCAGGATTCTATCCATGCGTGGCCATCCTCATGAAGCTCATTAACTTAACCCGACAACATATTCCTTGTCATATTGTCGAATTCGGCTTGATCGGCTAACCCTGTCCAACTCGGACTCTGCCGATCCTGGTCGCAGCCGATTCGGACTTCAGCCGATCCCACTCTGTTTCCGGAACGATCTCCATCTCGAACTCCGCTTTGATTCCTTCTTCATCTCCGATACTTAGATTACCAAATTTGGTCGTTAACGGAAACACATGAGATCATATATATGTGCCTAAGGTATAAAAATCCACATCCAGCTGCCATTAGGATGTAGGTGAAAAACATGAAATCCTAAGTGCTTCCTCTAGTCATAAATATTGGATATTTAGGTCAAACTTTTAAAACTTTGAAAATTAATTATATATGACAATAAGTTTATAAAACCTAATAACTTATAATAGGATGATTGTACTTTGTCAAGACCCAACGGTGAAATTTTTAAAAATTTGATCAAACTATATCTTAAACGTCCCATAGGGAGTACATATATGATTTGAGGTGAATAATATAATGTACACTACATTGGTCCTAAAATAACTGCCATTCTAAAGGCGAAGGGATGAATTAAGAAAAATATAAAATAACCTATATGCCCCTCATTCTAGGTGAATGGAGATGAGATGGGACAACTAATTCTCTAGGATTACACTTATTTTCAAGCGGAGGTAGTGCTTTACCAACATGAGTATCTGATCTATTTCTCAAGAGAAATAGATGCATGGTTGGAAAAGAAATAGATATATATCCCTCTATTTTGTAGTGTTATAATATAAGATCGGTCGCGCAAACACAAACTGAACTCAACCAACGCCATATCCACAAATCGGATCAAATAAAGAACATATATATATACATATGTACGTAGCAATGTTCGCATAGATAGAAGAGAGTAACAAATTTGAGGGGATTAAATTAAACTACATAATTACACATGAAACGATCACCAGCAACACACACATATGATCCTTCCGCGAAACTCATCGACTGATCGAACAAAAAGAAAAAAAAAGGAGATCCAAGAACATCATCACATCACATATATATAAATATATAATCATCATCATCAGCAGCATGCATATAAATACAACTAATCGATTAATAATTAGCCAATATATAATAATAATGCATCACACACACATATATATATATATATATATATATAATCGATCCATCCATGCATTCACCGACCGAATCAATGGATTGGACGAATTGGGAATTGGGGAATTTGGATGGACAATGATGTGATCACCATCATCATCATCGTCAGTTCATGTTGCGGGAGCAGCGGGTAATGGCGGAGCAGCCGCGGCGGTAGGGATTCGCCGCCTGCTGCGACGCGCAGTTCTGGTAGTAGGTCTGGCCTCGCTTGTTGCACGGCACCTTGTTCGCGTCCAGCGCCGAGTAGCTGACGTACCGGTTCGTCGGCTTCCTCGCCGCCAGCGCCCGCCGGAGCAGCCCGCCGTCGGCCCCCACCGCCGCTGAGCACTGCCGCCCCAGCCTGCCGCCGCACGACGAGGAGGAGATGGCGCCGAGGTGGGCCGTGGTGAGCAGCTGGCTGTAGCCGAGGCCGCCGCCGCTGTAGGCCTCGGCAGGCGACGCGCGCAGGCAGGAGACCACCAGCGTGGCCGCCACCACCGCCGCAGCCGCCGCCGCCACGCCGATGCCGAGGCGAGCCATGGGATGGATTCACGCCGAATTCCGAGGTGGTGGGGGGCTGGGGAGGTTGGCGTTTGGAGCAATTTGGGGAGGGGGTTCTTTGAGCGGGGTGGGTGTCTCTCTCTCTTTCAAGCGCGGGAGGAGGAGACGAGCGGCGGTGAGAGAACGCGGGGGAGACAAACGCGGCCATTCGCACAAGCCTCCACGGACGGTAAAATGCATACCATTAGACTCATCTGGTCAGAAAAAAATCGGACGTCCAATCTAATGTAGGTGCATGGCTAAGCAGTTCGTTAAGAGTACAAGGGAGCGTGCATGCAAGCATGTTTCAAAACTTAAATGATTTTTTCTCTTAAACTGTTTATCCAGATTTCAATCTAATTATATTACTGGATTCGTTACAATTAAATCTTTATAACAAGATATCACATGACTATATTGCGACAACTTTTCTTTTTACTTTTTAAATGTTGCACATATTGTTAATGAAATGTTCCAACAAGTATTTGTTGATGTTTCACTAGTGCATTTGCAATGTTTCATATTATCTTTTTATATGTTTTGGCAAATACTTTTTTTATGTTTCAACGATAACTATAATTCGATGTTTCAAGCTAAATATAAAAAATGCTTCAGTAGTTGGGACATAATGTTTCATGTAATAACGATTACTGTTGCAGTCAATTGCATCACTTTTTATATGTTGCACAGTTTATGAAGTGCGTTGAAACATCTCCACAGGTGATGAAACATTATATATATATATATATATATATATATATATATATATATATATATATATATATATATATATATATATATATATATATATAGTGCAACATAAGTTTGATTTTTCCAGAATGCACATATATATTTTCCCAAAAAAAATTGGATGGTCCAATGTTAGTTACAGTTGACCAACAAGTGAAACATTATGTTATATATGGTGAATCTAAAAAATCAGAAACTGAAACATTTAAATATTTATGAAACATAGTGAAAATACATGTTGAAACATGTCGCTATAACATAAGAAACAACAAGTATTAACAGACTGAAACATATGTTTTTCTTTCATCAAAATATAATCATGCGATATCTTGTTCTAAAGATTTAATTACAGCGAATACAATGGTGTGATCTAACCATAGATTGGATGCGCAATTTAGAAGAAAAATTATTTTAAAGCTTGCTAAAATAGATGCATGTATGCATGGATGAGATGGAGAGAGGAGAGAGGGTAGTAGCACATAGTTTTAGAAATTTTGTGAAACACAATGAAGACACACATTGAAACATATCGCTATCATGTTTGAAACATTTAGTTTTGACGGTTTGAAACACATGTTTTTTCTTTTGACATAATATAATCATATGATATATTGTTGTAAAGATCGATTTAATTGCAACAAATACAATGGTGTGATCGGATCGTATATCCGATAAGTAATTTAGGAGAAAAAAATATTTAAAGATAGGAGAAAAGGAGAAGAAATAGTTACGCATGCATGTGACAGTGACTGACAGGTGCTGCCATGTGTCAGTGGCATGCTGCCATACATGTAAGAAGCCGTGTGTGTAGTGCTTGTTGCCTGGCTTGGCGTCCGATATTTGGTAGGATATCGGACGTCCGAGCCATAGCGCTTTCCTCACGGACGACCTCGTGCGTGTTGCTTTTTTGCTTGGGCCGGCACAAGGCCCAGTTCCTATCTGGGTTGGGCTTAGCTAAAACTGGGCTGGTGGGCAGCAGGCTTGAATGAATAACTGGGCAAGGATATAGCTTGAAAAGGTTACTAGTAGGGATGTCCACTTTGGTTCCCTCAAATATAGGTCTGATCAGATTAAACTCTTTCCATCGTAAAACTGGATATCAACTATTGCAATTGGTATAGAATGACTCCATTAGCGTTTCTGAATGCGGTTTTCACTGATGTGGCTCGTTGGCCTGATCCAACCGGCTAAATCAACATGTGGGGCCCACATGTCAGCATCCCCTTCTCTTCCTCTCCTACTTTTCTCTTCCTTTCTCCCATCTCTTTCCCCACACGTGCGAACAACAATTAGCTCAAGTGGGGACTACGACACCGGCACAGTGGTAGCACAGCCTCGTGGTGGACATTCATTGGTGGGGACATCACTATCCATATCTCTACTCTTCCTTCGGCTTCTGGATCCACGAAGATGGCCGCAAAGGGAGTAGTCAATGTGCCTCTCTGATCCTGCTCTGCCTTCTGGATGCAAGAGGCCAAGGTCGAGGCAACCACAGTTGCTCTTCCTCCACGACACCCTCGACTAGATCTAGGTCCTCGCCTCACTCACTTTTCGCTCCCTGTCGCTGCTGCCCTCACTATCGGGGCCTACCCCACCGTCTCCATGCCTGACTTCGACACAGCCACAATGACCCTCTTCTAGCATGAGGATGGGGCATAGCGTGTGGTAATCGCAATTGGTACTTTACTTTTTTCACATGTAATTACACATAAGCATTGCATGTGTCATGTGAGGTAAAGGCCAAGTCAACATGCCACATAGACGTTTACATCATTGAAAACCATCTTCAAAACTGTCAAGGGGTCATTCTACACCAGTTTTAATAGTTGAGTAGTGGATATACTTGGTTTCAGGGATGCAAGAGCGGGAGCCGTATCTGATCGAATCTATATTGTGGGAATCAAATTGGACTTTCTAGTAATAGAGAAAAAAACAGACGAACAAGAAAGCCAGACCAGCAAAAGTGCCCTTATTGGGCCTAATTTCGAGTGGACCTATATGACTTCTAGTCCAACCATGACAACAGGAAGCTTTGTGTAGGTTTGTGACACGTTTCTGATCTGATCAGAAACGGTGACAACAGCAACGGCGGGATGGATAGATGAATCACCGGCCGACCGGCCGCCTATCTACTTGACGGCCCAGCACTGGGTGCCGGCGTCGAAGACGGCCGGCGCAGTGGCGTTCGCCGGCGGCGGGAACCATAGACACCTTGTACATGAGCGTCAGCGCCACGCTCACCTTCACGTGCACCGTCCCCTCCGCGGCCTCGCGCTCCAGCTCCGCCGCCGTGCCGCCATCCACCGCCACCACGCCGCGGAACGCCGGGTGCAGCACCTGCATATCCGAAAAAAAGTCAAATTAAGAACATCATCAGAACGTGGAGCTAGTTAAATTGTAAAGAAAAAACGTGTAGGAAATTAATTAATGTACGGAACGGTTGTGTTCTTGGGGTTCTGGCGGAAGAGCGGGAGCGCGTCGTCGGCGGGGCCGAGCTTGGTGTCGAGGTAGCGGATGGAGAGGCGGCGGTGCGCGTTCCGGAAGCTGAGGTCCACGGCGAGGTCGTAGACGAGCTGCCTGGAGCTCGGCTGGTCCTCCGTGGCGTTGGCCGCCGGCGGCGGCGGCGGTGAGGTGGAGGGCAGCGAGGACGGCGGAGTCGATCCTGGGGTGGAAGCGATCGGGGCCGGTAGAGAAGCCATAGCAGGATGAAGGTGATGCTGAACTGCGTCCAGAACTGCACGCACATCCACGCGCATTCGATCATGGACTTGCAGCAGTCCCACGGCGACGGCTCGCCATCGTCGTCCATTTTCTTTGTTTGAAACTATGTCCTTCTCGGTTGATGATTAGATCATACTCTACATTGCCGTCGTGTCCTAGCTAAGCTTTATCGGACGTTTGGCGTGCAGGTGATTGATGGAGATCATAGCAGGAAAGAAAGAAAAACAATGACTGCGTCGATCTCGATCCGGCTTAGATCAATTAATCTTGTTTCTTGACCCGGCCGGACTCTCCGCTCAATATATGCAGTTCGTTTACTTTGTTTTTTTTATATAAATTAGGAAGGAAGCTCACGCTCAATATATGCACGGGCAACTTATTTATTGTTTATAAAAAAAAGCTAAAGAAAGTTGTTTGTTACCTTATTCACTATAAGAACTATATAGTACTACCTTATAATAATAAAAGAATGAAATAACTATATCAAAAACCATTTACTTGATATACTAAATGATAATAATGTCTTCTATATTGAAACATAAATTGTTTTATCATGGTTATATGTCTATCACCACTAATTATTATGGTATGGAAACCTGAATGCATTTTTGATAGATGGAATTGCATCCATACCAAAAGTAAACCTAATACGTTGTAAATACTATAAAGCGTTCATTTCTACTTCATACCACTGCATTTCTAATCAATAGAATCTGTATATAATATTTTAAAATACCTTTGATAAACTAATAGGTTAAAATCATTAAAATATATATCAATGCACCTCTAACGGGTGAAACCGACCGTAGCCACAAATGCTTTCTTTTCTTATGGCTTATAATTAATATGGGTCTCATACTGACATAATTGTGTCTCTTAAGATCAACGTAGAGCACAAGTTTAATGTCAAATTCACTAATTGCCAATGGTGACTTCTCACTGGGCATGCCCAGTGAGAAGATGGATGTGATGCAGATATTCTTTTAAAAAGTTGAGTCAAATTGTGATATAGAATAGACAACGGTACAAATATAATTTTCCCTTTTGAAAATAAGCAGGAGTGATCCTTCGACACTACTTTAAAAAATACAAATATAATTTTTCCTTTTGAAAATAAGCAGGAGTGATCCTTCGACACTACTTTAAAAAATCTAATAGGGTTGATGGAGCCGTTTGTAAATGAATATAATGCCCGCTATTAATTATTTGAAAAGGATAGAGTAATTGTTAAGAATATTTGAATGAGATTGAAAAAAAGATAGAATATTGTTCCACATAATATTTTTTAAATTAAAATATATAGTTATTATGGGATGTAACGATATACATCTAGGATATATCCTAGTCAAATACCTAGTAAAACAAAGGGGAGCGAAATTAAAGGATCCACATAGGAGTGGACTGAAAGTTAGGAGGGAAGGATTCATAGTTTTTTCGCGATTAGTAGTCTCCCGGCAAATAATAGTCTCTCTACCATATATAGATGTATATATGTACATATTTTTTTCGGACGAATAGTACAAATTAGACAGGAGATTAGGAGGAAGGGATTATTTACTTCAGGAGATATAATCTAATAATTGAAAATAATAAGTTTACTGGTT